GCATGCCAGACAGAGCTTTTGTAAAGCGCCTGTCTCACTTTTTCTTACTGCTGTAGACGTTACGCTCTGTATACATTCCTGTCTCGTAAAAAAACTGGCCAGAAATTTATTACTAATGACGACCGACGGAGTGTGTTTTAAAAGAAGAACTTACAGGTTTGTCGATGATACAATAAAAGCTTAATTTCTGATAAATTGCTTGACGCAGAGTTGTCGCAAAATGAAACCAATCGAGCTCAAATGTCATGAATTTACATAATGCCCTGTGTTGTTGTCTTGGTAATTGGGTCATCAAAAGAGAGCAGGGTGGATGACTGCTCTTGAGTCATGTCCAAGTGAACTTAGGGAGAAGTTCCGGAGTAAAAAAATAAAGTAAGTCTTGACGTTACCATCAGCACTAACACGCAAATAAAACTACCTTTTAGAGCCAAGAAGACAAGACATGACGCTTTATTCTTAAAGATAATTTTATCTATCAAACATCTACCTCATGTTAGACTTGTCATTGAACCACAGGGACTTTATATTTGCAGACACTTTAAAAAGGACCGTCTAACTCCACCAAAGAGATCCATTAACGACACAGGGCCGTGTTCAGGAATATAGAGGCGGACATGCGCTGCAGACACGTGCCCCATTCATTGCCCAAGGCATGTTTGTTTTCGCCTGTCCGGCCGCGTGCAGTTGCGCTGATTTGAAATTTTAAAGGCCGTCGGTCCAAAACTCGGTGAGTGAGCAGAATTCGAGCATGAATGTGTGACGTCAAGCAAATAATGTTTCAACTGTTTTCAAATGTTGGGGACATTGAGTTCCTAACTTCGTATATATGAGCGTTGGAATGAAACATGAACAGAAATGAGTGCAGGTGTCAGTCACTTCGGTGTTTCAAAACGCCAAGGTCGTTTTGAGAAAAAACAACACGCTCAGCTCACAAGTCAGCATATGACCATGCTGATTGGGTAGACCTCGCGCATGCCTATTGCTGGGCCCGAATGACGTCGGACATGCTTCAGAATATTGAACTGGTTCGTTAGACACAACCTTCAACGACATAGTATGTCTGTTTATGTTGTTTCTGGTTCCTTTTCAATATCATTTAATTCTTGGGTCGTGTGTATCCGACTGTGTTATGAGTTTCTGCGGTTCTCGGCGTCAGATAATATTAAACCCTGATATCTGAGGTATTTCAACATACAAATGTCAATCTTATCAAGCGCTCTTCGAAATATAAAATCCCTTGCTCCGAGCATGCACGGCGTGCACCCAGCTTTGCACTTTGCGAGTTTGGAAAGCCTCATTTTGTCTCCCTGAGTGGCAACAGTGAGGGTTTTCTTTGACACTCCTGCGTACGACACGGGGTCCAGTATGCCCGCCTCGATTGGCGAGGGTAGGCATTTTAGCCTGACGCAGTGAAAGTCTGACGCCTGTATGAGATGACTAGTCGAGCATATGAGTAATCATAGTGCATCAGCATGCAACAGGGCACTCACAGTTTTAAGACAACAGAAAAGGGAAGGAAGTCATCAAAATATAGGGTCCTCTCCTTTCACCTATGCAGATAGGTCACACAAGAATTTGATTTGCAACCCTTGGAAGCAAATACACTTACAACTACAGTGCAGATGTTGTAAAGGACAACAAGACAAGCATGGCATAGGGGAAACGGTGGTACATCAACTATCGATAGAAGAACGAATAACCAGCCCGGCCATTTGTCGGGATGTAAATTGAATTATCAAGTGCTTCATAATGTCGGTGATAATTAATCATAGGGGGTAATTTGGAGCTACCTGCTGGTACAACAGACTGTTAAAGGTGATACTCAAACAGTGAGATATGTGCTGTTTGATTAATTGTCTCTAAGTATACGCCAAGAGTTTGGGGGTGCGTAATGAATGGTTTCTCAGTTGTCGTTAGGTATCAAACACCTTAGCGGCATTTTCTGTTTTTAAAGAACCCCAACGGTTTTAACAATAAAAAAACATGATTGTGTTAAGTGTGTAATAAATCATATATTCATTACCAAATCATGTCTGCACTGCGTTTGCATGTTTTGTGATTTTGCCCAAACTTTTGAACAGTGTCTTCGAATTCATGAAAAATTTCCACAATTTGACCACTGACGGCGCTATTGAGAAACGAAATTTTTAAGATGTAACACCGGTGAAAACAATGAAACTGGTATCCATGACACGACTGGTTCCGCTACAAACGTACATGTACATGAACATGGAGCTATATGTGCGTGTACTGCATACCGGGGATCGATCTGCGTGCTGCGGGTCTACCGTGCCGCCTTATTTCTTTTCTGAGTCTGTGCTTCTTTCTTCATGATTTACAATAGTGCAGAAATCACGTGTCATTGGTAGATGTATACATTCTGCGAAAGAACTGGGATTGAAATTCTTCGAGTTTCCGAAGAATGAGAGCGCTGTCGTCTGCGCCTACGCGTGCTATGTCTGCCTAAAGCGCACGCATTGTGGTATTTCCTCTCCGTGGTAAAAAAAAAAATCAATATTCATTAGATGGTAATGAGTCGTGACGACACGTCCATTTTTACAATACCGGAATGGCTCCGGGGAAAATGGGTACAAAAACTGTGTTTTATTCACAAAAACGTGTATTGCAAGGAAGATGTTCATATATGTGCAACTCTTATTAGAAAAGTTAGCATCATCGGAGTTGGTCTTTAAAGTCGAGAACAAGGGAGTGTTTGCAGGAGTTGATAAGGTGTCATCCCCCCACACACACACCTTGTAGTTAATTCTCGATGAAATTTTAATTTGTTTCTGCGAAATCGCTGACACGATTTATTTTGTGAACCACGGAGGTGGCTCATCAGGAGACCGGTTCTACTGGGCTCGCTGTCAATGATGTTTGCTTTTCTCACTTCGATCGGACGTGCGTGCACTTGATATTCATCTTCCTTCCCAAAGTCTGAATGCCAGATACTGCAACTGAAGTTCTATTCTCATTTCAAACATAAAAAAGCCGAATATTCACAATTAAACAGGGATATTTAACTGGGAGGCATGATGATCGGCTGGGGGTCCGGATCTCGGGGGCCTCCTTGAAGATGCCGACTGCGTCAGTAGGTAGATGCGCCTAGGGACAGGCAATATTGTGGTCTTCACCGTGACAGTACGTGTTGGACCCCTGCTCTTTCGGCGCGGAAGTCGCAGTGATAGGCTCGGAACCGCCCGAAGACAATATGCGGTAAAGGCTCTCTCTGAGAGGGTGGCTTTCTCCTCTACCTCTTTGAAAAGATGCGAACAAAATGTGAGGGTTTGTCTCCAACCGTTCAAATTATGAGGTCTACGGCCGTCCTCACACAGCTGTGAACATCAAAGTTTTTTCCTTACCCGCCATATGCCTTTCACTGTTAAAGCCGAATGTATGGCGTGCAAATTTAACATTTAATCCGCCAATAATAGGGATATGTGTCTATTCCTAATAGAGATATCTCTATTAGGGATATTTCTCTATTCCTAATAGAGATATCTCTGGAAGGATTTCATGGTGAAAGAAACTAGAAGGGTGAAATGATTGCAGCTGCACCATGTATCAATCTCTTTCTTGAGTATGTGTGGTTCTGAGAAGAAGCGGGGAAGAGCTCAACGTTTCAAACAGTATACTCGGTCCGTCTTCAGGAGACTGCAGGATTCTGAGTGGGAGTCAAGCTTATATGGCGTAGAGATATCTCTATAAATTATAGAGATATCTCTTTAGTACGTCCTGTTTTAATACAGACATCTCTATTATGTTTCCGTTCCGCACACTGGGTCAACGGAAAGGTCTTTGTATCTTAACGCACAAAGTTCCACTGAGCCAAAGGGTTGTGCAAAGTTTCCTAATGTAAACAACCATGGGATTACGAGTACCGAGACACGATTCACAACCCCTCAAGATAATAGATTTTTAAAACACAAACGTATCGGAGGCGGTAACTTAAGAGAGATATCTCTATTGCGTAATAGAGATATCTCTTCAAATGTTACGCTTGAAGCGGTGACTCTACCTTTAACTGTGCGCTCCGCATGCATGAGCGTCAATAAAAAAAAATATCGATTATGCCCTTCTCGAGCAAAATCTTTTACCCGTTCGTGTGCCGCCATGCGTTTAACTTCAGAAATGATTACAAATTATCACAGGTCACGATGTCCTTAACAGCCTGCCGCATAACTAGCCGGCGGAATTGATAGTCTATTTTGATATTTGCATTTGTGATGGATCACAGTGCCCCACACTCATCCCAAAATTGCACGCCACACTGTCGAAAATTGTGGAATGCATTTATGCAAGACACTGAAGTGTTTTGGCTCTACGAGTATAAAATGGGACGATAATAAAATTCCGTTTTTAGAAACTCTATGAGAGTCTACATTATTCGCAAAGTGAAGGGAAATAGTTGCAGTTTTGCAACATTAGGGGGCGCTATTTTTACGTTGCATATATAATTTTTGTTCATGTACACCGACCGTCCTACCTCTGACAGTTCTTTCCTACTTGAATTTTATTTGCATTTTAATAATAAAAATTATAATTTGTTCTTGATATAGCGTCTTCCATTAAAAACCTCAAACACTTTATGAGAGAATCACAAACATGTAAATAAAAAGCAAATGCCAATTGATTAAAATAAACATTAAGAATAGTACCTTATGTGAATACATTTTAAAAAAATCCTATTCAATTCACAATCACATTATTCAATTCATTTCCACATTCATAAATTATTAAATTCGAATGACTACTGAAGGAAATCATGTAACAAGGTATTTAATGACAGATTTAGACGAGGTGAATTGAAGTGAGTCATATTTGGCCTACAGTGAAGAATGTGATTATTTAGCCAGGAATGTCCTTGCCATACACGAGGTAAGCATGGCGCTGCAGGTACACAATATTCTGCCCGCTATATTCGTCGTTTTAGCACCAAACGTGCTTTTTCACAGATATGACCAACTGTAATTGGAAGTGTTTCTTTCTTTGTTTCACAGTGGTCTACGCAGACACCAGACCTCTAGTAAAAGAGATACTGACAGATTACAACCGGCTGGTCCGCCCAGTTATCAACGAGTCAGTCACGGTGACAGTTTATCACGAAATTGTACCTGTCAATGTCATCTCATTCGTGAGTATTTCTTCCATGTTGGATGTAAGGTATTTAATGCGGTCGAATTTCATTTTTTTTTCAAGAACACTCCAAAAGTGAAAATCAGCATATCGAATCAGTTGCATATCGATATGGAAACTGGTAGAAATATAACTGAATATAAACAATTGAGGACGTTTTGCCCAGTCGTATGCGCACGCTTACCGTCGACAGTGCGATTATTGATAATCTATAGAATATTTTCATTTTGTTCATTTTAAATTCATTTACCACCAGCGGTTGCCTGCCAAGTACAGATATTTATAAAATATACATGTATATACAGATACTAAATAAATACACTAAATTACATAAAGCAAACCAAAGAACAACTACACATGTAAAATATGAAACAAATACAAAATATACCACACACGCACAAGCTATAAGCAACACATAGAAAGGCGGGGGTAAAATAGGATGGAATATTGAGAGTAGGGACTAGGGACGAGGGGAAGGATAACGGGGGGAGGAGACGTATAGGAGACCTAAGGGGCAAGATACATGAAGGGTAAGAAAAGAGAATAAGGACAAATGAGAGAGACTAGAGCACCAATGAAGGACCAAGCTATATTGACTGATATGGATTATATAATTGACATCATGAACTGATGTATTCATTCTCAAAACACTGGCAGCTCCCGATGAAATTGATGTGTTGGAAGTGACTATCTATCCGGATATAAAATACCAGGATTCTGAATGACACCACTTAACGTGGCCAGTACCCTGTTCCACTGAGTCTTCCCAACATGTTTTTAGTTCAACCTTTACATTAGTATTACATTTCTGAGGAGGTTTTTCGCTCTGAAACGCGGTGGCGTTAATTTCTCCAAGGGCAAAAAGTGGGTGAATTTTTAACGTGTGGCAAGCGGCATTGCCTTTTTATCAGGTGAAAAGCCTCACGGCCGCTGGTGACACTGCCGCGTGGTTTTAATCGAATTCGCCAGCAGTACCTTTAGAAAATGTGACGGTCGCCCCCCAGCATTATGTCCAACAACACGCGCTACTTTTACATTTGACCAATTTTGTGCCCCTTTTCACTCTGTCCTGTGAATTTTTAGTATGGAGGTGTCGAACGCCACTATGTTGAAAAAAGACCTATAGTGATGCATAATGTGTTACATTCAAGACACGTAAATACACTTCGTTAAGATCACAAAGTTTGTTGGATACAAATATTGTCAATCCAGCAGGTTTTTAACAGGAATTTCTATTTCTATTGTTTCATTTTATCCTGATGTTACATATCCTCGATAAATATCGTTTGTGAATTCCTCTCTTAAATATAACACTAATATATACCGGTACATATTATAAAACATACAATTACAAATAAACATCTCAGAATGTAACAAATATTAGTTAAAGTACTTTATTAATATACTGATATCTTATTACGATATCCTTCAAGTTGATTATAATCTTTCATATTGAAAGGCTCGAAATTGTGTTTTGGCAACTTTCAAATGCACCTGCCGCGCAAGAGGAACCGGTCCTTCCTTTCCAATTTGTCAATCTGCTTCTAACTCTGTCTCCCCTTTGCACTTGAGCTCCGTGACGACGATGTGGCCTTGGGTCAAGGGTAACCTCGGCTGGAGGCAGATCAATACAACACACAAGGGGCGGATAATCAAGCGATCAGAATGGATTGCGTGGGACTCGAGGCTGTTATATTCGACAGACTGAACTCAAGTACGCGTAATTTTTGATGGACTCGAGGGGGCAAGAAGGCGTTAGGAAGCACCACTGTTTCCCTAAAAAGACCATTCAGCTTGTTTTAGCGTGGTTTTAGAAGGTCGAGTAAGACAATATTCTCCATTCCCCTTGTGGCGCTTTAAGTAGGCGCTCTATTGGTAGAAGCAGCTCAGCAAAACAAATTGCATACGGCTATTTATTACTGAAACAAGCAGATGAGATGCTGTGTTTAATTTACGCTGCTCAAAAGGTTAACACAATAGTTTAACACCAACATTTAGCTTTCCTCCAAAATTATGTCATTATTTAGCGATTAAAAAAATGCTTTGCTCCATCTGGTAGACCAAGTTACCTTACCTAAAAAGTAAAAATATCACTGCCCCTTTAAAGTTAGTAGGATACTCCACGGTAAAGGTACTTGAAGTGCTGAGGTGTTTAGGTTTAATAAGGGGCCGCGCCACAATGTCAATTTAAATCTCTCAACAAGTCCAGGATAAATGCCCTTTGCGATCTCCAACGACGCACGGCGCACAGATTTTGTACAAGATGGGTTTGAGCGTGGACTTTCAGCCCGTCTGGTGGCCTCTGATCGAACCACACACCGTTTGTGTCGCCGCGTGTGATTACATCACCCTCGTCAGCCGTGTGACAGCCGATCAACTCATCCGCACGGGGCAATTAACTCTGCGGATAACAGGTGGCAAAACGGACACCACAAAGGGCTGGCTTCAAAACTGCAATTTCGCGTTGCTCCTTGATATCAACTGTTATTGACACAAGTGGTCAGTTAGTTGGTTAGAGTAACGTTTCAGTGCTATCGTGAACTTTTCAAGAAGGCGTCTTCAAATTCTTTTTATGTGGAGTAGTTTGAAACAGTATAATTGGATTTTACTCTTGCATGTTTGTTTAGGATTAAAGTTCCTATTCAAATTTAAATTTGCACATAGGCTAATAGACCTAACAATCCGACAATTGGACCCAGAGACTTGAATGGAATGGTATAGGTCATTAATTTATCTCGAGACAAGAATTTTTTAAAGGTTGCGCAAGGCAAACTCAGCTCACTGATTGAAGTGATCAAATAAATGTTACTGCGAAAAAAAGTCAATAGGACCGAAATTTTCATATGCTTGGAGATTAAATAATGGTTTAAATTACAGCATTAACGATAGGACTTGAAGTTGATTCAACTTATAACCACTCTTGGATTGAAGCACCTAGGAACACCAGAAACAAAACCAAATATAAAATGTACGTGCAGGTATCCTTCCCCTTTTGAGTGAAATACAGTAGACGGACGACACTGAGACTATAAGGAGGAGATACGAAGGAATTTGTCAGCAAACAATCTGTCAAAAATATAAACATTCTGCATTTCAGTAAATGGCAAATGAAACTTCACAATAATGGTATTATTCTGCAACCGGTATAGGTATAAATTAGTTTCATTATGCACATAATTATGCAGGAATCTCTCTCTCTGTATACCAAGGGGTTAGAAATACATGGTCTCAAAAATAGCAATGATGACATTATATTACGGTGGAAACACACGCGGGACTTTGCTTGGTGATGGCCATCATACATGTCCAACATGACTTGTCCACTGTTGTCACTCAAAATAACGGAAACAGTACTGGACCAATAACGTGGGACCGGTATGTTTACTGCCACCAAGCGTCTCTAAAGTGCCCCGTTTGGTTGGAGTTACAGGTGTGGCATATTGTACTTTATTATTGCCAGAGCAAAATGCGGACAGACTCCGTTTGGCGGAGCACCTGCCCGGAATGATCCAGTTCTTTGATAACACCGCCTTTTTGCGAACCCGTCAAAAGCAAGAGGCGCTATAGATCGGGACTGGCTTTTATCAGATCATTAGGGCATCATGAATGCTCTGGGGACCATCGAGGCCCATCAACTCGATTGTCACTCAGTTAAGTTCACCCACCACCTGGCAACATATACACGCAATCGGTTGCCTGTTTGCACTACTTTATTCACGACTATTGCCACCCAACACATCTCTTAAAACTTCAAGAAGAAAAGGTAAGGTGGTAAAAGGTGATGTGATGCATAAATCATTAATAGAACTATCATCACAATGGAGTGCATTTTCCCTCATTATCCGCCTTGAGCAGAAGCACCCCTTCATCAGTTGAAAAGACCAATGTTGGTAGCGAGTGTTCAATTTGTTGGTACCGACGCGACCTCAACGTGTGAATTTCATAGTCGTTTGTTAACCGGTGAAAAGCAATTCCCGCCAAAGGAGTCTCCGTTAAAGTTGCGCCCTCCCTTGCCCAGTGCGGGGCTCATTACATCGATTTGGTTGACTAACAGTTTATCAAAGTTTCACTTTCACGCGTAGGTCTACATTGTGTGGTCCTGTCTCCTTAGTTGTCCTTTGTGAGTCCGTGTACATGTGTATTGTAGCAGTTCATATATATTTACAAATAGGTCATTTAGAAGACATTTTGTGGTAAATTTTTCAGCATTAAAGAGACATTGGCTTTTAGGGAGACATCTAAGTGTCTCCTTGTTTTCAAACTACCAGAAGGAGGCCAAATTTTACCATCCAAATTTTGAGAGATGATAGACTAGGGTCTAAAATGAAAACATTCAAAGTTTCGTTCAGATCAGATTAGGGAATATTGAATTATGGGACAGTTAAGTTGGAAAAATTGTGTGCACGTTCTTATGGGAATGTCTCCCTAATGTTGATGTATATTCATACGGAATAGCCAGTCAGCGTCATTTTCGAATTACGAGCAGGGGCTGGTGAAGGAATGCGCACGCAGACCATGGAGTCTTACTGTCATTACACACATATATTGGTGCTGCTCCTGGACAATGAACAAGCTAACCATCCATTTTCCCTCCTTACAGGTTTTTCTACTATCTTCCGATATTCATACCAGTGTTTATTCAAGTTCAAGCAGGTGTTGACTTTCACTATACCTCTCTGTCAAACATCTTTCACCTCTTTGACGAACTTGATGCGCCTTGTTATCTTGAATGCAAAGATCTTCCTACATTAAAGATCACTGCTCGGGAGCACGTATCAAGATCTAAGATTGTGCTGTCTTTCACTTGAAACTGCTCTATGAAGTACACTCGATTTGTACGGTCATGCCATATCTTTTGCGTCCTCAAATACATCTCCAACCGAAGTCTTTCTTCACAAGGTAACAATTAGTTCGTGCTGGATTGGCGTTCGGGTCGAATGAGGGAGACATCCACTCGCCTACGCCTTGATAGAACATGGCTATACAAATACAACCCTT